AAAAAAAAAAAAAAAAAAAAAAAAAAAAAAAATTTCTGAGAAACGACCATAAAACAGAGAACAATTACCTGTCCATTCGCACAGTGCGTCCATTCAGCTAAGGTATGAAACCGATCCTCAGATTCAGTACGCATTAACATAGAATCAGAAAAATACCCCGACTTCCTCCAATTCAACATTTCCACGGAAGAATAAGGACCTGGACGTAAATATTACATCACATAATGTAATTTTTAAATAGATATTTACCTACATTCTTTTATGGAAGATTGCAAAATTGCATGGAATTATCGGGGAGGGAAAGGAGCGAGAGAAGCAAATCAAAATAAAAAAGATATTTTCGAAAACGTCCAAAGAAATACAAAAAATTCTGTACTGAATCCCGCATTCAAAGACACGCCCCTCAATCTATTTCAAACGTTCTGGCAAATTTAATCAACCTGCTAAGAAAAAAAATTTGGAATCTGCAGCTCAGGGTTTTGTTAATGATCGCTCAGAATTCTAAAATAAAATCTTCTTCACAACCACTGTGAATTCAAACCCCAGTCAAAAGAGTAGAAGGATTCACGGGGAAAATCAACTAAAAAGAATCCACTTTTCGAGAATAATGAAATACAATTTTTAGACTGTATAAACGCTAAACTATTGCAGAAACTATCCTAACCCACCAAAAAACAGCACGCTTTTGTTTAAATCATTTATCAGGACTTTTTCTTTAAACAGCAACCTGAGTTTCCACCCCCTTACAAAATCTCATATAAATAAAAAAGTGGCACTATTTTGCATAAATTTCAAAACTTTTCATTGTAAAAATTTTCAGTGGTTCTTTAAAAGCTGTCAGACACACTCTAGTTAGGAATTATAAGCAATAAAAAAGTAAGCAAGACGAAATAATGGAGAAAAAGCAATAAAAAAAGTGGGCAAGACGAAATAAAAGAAGGGAAAAACAGACAAGATTTAGACTTTGGACGCTCTTATAAGAACGTGTAACAACGCAAAAAAACTTACAACACAGGAAGCGAAAGAAGCTTAGGCATAACAACTCTGTACAACATTTAGAAGTATCGGCTCAACTTACCGTAAACTTGATGATCATCACCTTCATAGTACCACTTCGGGATATTCAAATTTGCAGGGACCGGATCCATAGATCTACCTACAGCGGGCCAACGAAGTCTGAAAAGAAAAACCAAATTATTTCAAACAGTGCATAATAAAGCACCTCCAAATCCGCGTGAGATTTACAAAAGCAACAAAGAGCACGATCAGAATGCTCCAGAAAAAGCAATTAAAAATAAGTAAACAGAACAAAACAAAAACGAAAGCGAAACAAAAAAAAAAAAGAAAAAAGAAAAAGAATGCAGAATATGGCTTTGCAGCGACTATTCAAATTAAAATGAAAAAAGGCTGACAACAAATACCCATGTCCAGACCTATTAAACTCTACAAAATTATGAAACCGGTACCTTTTCTCCACACAATATATCAACATAACCGCAAAAAAGAATAGCATGCATATGGTTTTTACAAAACTGCTAACTAAAATTAAAATATCTTTCCTTCCTCTTCTCCACAATAATGAAACCGCCGTCTTAATGGAACAAAGTGTTGCTATCACATCACGGACACCAGAAAGTATCAACAACAACAGAATACAAAAAGTATAGTAAAACTTCCTCACTAAAAGAAAAGTATGCAAACCTGAATTACAAACAGAAAATACTCCCATATAATTTCAATTCATATTTACTGAACCTAACTGATACAAATCTACTCAACAGTAGATTAACACTGAAAACAGCTTGAACATCACACACTAAGTTCGAGTCCAATAAAGCCTTAAATGACAATAAAAAGCCATCGAGAAAATCAAGTCCTGCTGCAAACTAAAAGGAAAAATTTGCTGAACCAACAAGCAAACATAAAAAACTTCTCCAAACACGCTCGGAGCAGGTGTTATAAAACGCTGCTGCAATCGGCTTCACAGAAAGTGCATTACACACAAACCACATTAGCATCGAAAAAAAAAAAACGCAAAATTTCCCACCTTCCCCCTTACACATTGCTGGCTCACTTTCTCAAACCTTTCCCTCAAACTTCAACGGCTAACGATGTTAGTTAGACAACAAAAAGCCAAAAAAAAACCATGAAAAAGCACCAAAAAACGTCCCTAATGCCGATGGAGAACTAAAAAAAACTGGGACACGAGTTATCGCTTTCTTCACATACAGTACCAATAGCCACCAAGCAACCGCAGTAAAAAAAAAACTTTTTAGTGAACAGAACAAAACTTCAATCAAGCACCAGCTGGTATTAGCAGTTAATATTGCAAACTGATTTGCAGCTAAACGACCTAAGACAAAAAATTAACAGACTGGCAATAATTAGTCAAACATAGTTACTAGAAAGTACCAAAGAAATAGTCTTTATCATATTTCATCTTTTGATAAAATATTGAAACTGTTAGACGTGTAACAACACGGTTAAATGCAATTGCAAAATGAAGAGTGAAAACCAAATCATATAAATTTATCCATCAGACATCCGCCACCGCCATCACCACTAACGCCACTATTATTACTACTACAACCACAACCACAACCATCGCCATTTCGAGCACCAGCTGTACGCAAAATGCAAAAAAGAAAATTTTGTAACGATGCTCGAGAGCCCGAGATGTGGCAGTGAAAAAT